TTATGTTTAGTAATATAGTTTAACTGTGCCATGAGCCATTACCATGAGCATAAGCAAACGTGCCATTCGGACAGTTATTCACAAAAAAGGGTGGGTTAATGAACATCCATTAATCATGTAGTAAGGATTTTTTCCATTATTTTTTTCCTTTTTTTCACTGCGTTTGAAGCGCGAGTCAATGAGCATAGAATTAAGGAAGCAGAAACTTACTTTTAAATAAGCTGGTCATAATTTATAATAAACAGTTTAATTGCATTGCATTTAATTTGTGCATTTATTTGTTGGTAAATATATTAATTATGCTGTATATGTGTAATTTTATGATAAAATGTAACAACTATTATTGTAAAATAATGGTTATTTTAATTATTATATATTTTATTGTGTTATTTTTATTATATTATCATTATAATGAATTCTAATATAATAGTTATTGTAATTGATTATAAACTTAAAATAATAAAAAATTATGATTATGCTGTAATAATGAATTAATATATATCTTTTATCTTTGAGCTAAAATACATGTGCATTAACCCCTTCACAATGTCATGTTGCTGAACTAAAAAACCCTCTGCAGATGGGTATGTCATATGCATCAGTCCCAAATGTTGCTAGCAGCGGTGATACATCACGCTTACATTGATTGTCCAGATGGGTGTTTCATATATTCATTCTCAAACATACACATTCCTTTAGAATTTGTTTAAATCACTAGATGGCACTCTGTCTTCAATACGATTAGTTTATTTGAACATATACATTGTTGATCTTGTGTCCGTAAAGTACTTTCTGATTCTGGTGATTCGTTTAGATATACGAGCAGATGATATAAAGTAAACAATACCCAGCTGACATGCAGTTGGCTTTACGTGATAATAAACATTGAACAGTTTCCGATGCTTCAAATTTGTTTTATTCCTATGGGAAGATTGGGAGTGGACCTATGGTTTTAGAAACTCCAGTTTGTATCATCTTTAGATTGCAGATATAAGTTTTTGCACTCGTAATAGAGCTAAACTAATAGTGTGATGTCCAAGAGACAGACATTTTTAGTGGAAGAAGAGTATATTCGAATTGTAAAGCCCATGAGTGTCTCTTTTAATACCGAAATTTCCTTGAAGATTGAATTGGAAGTTTGTTTTACTTTCACATCACAATCCAGCAGAACACTGGCTACTCCATCATGAAATTGATCTGTTAAGTAATTGAAGCCTTATGAATTTACGGGAATTGCAGAGTAAACGTAAGTCAAAGTTATAAAAATGAAATTTTTTTTTTTTTATACCATTTTTTTACTTCCTTGTATGAAGTAAAAATGAAGTATTGTAATCGTAAAAAATTTCGGGTAACATATTTCAAAGAAAATATCAAAGAAAATATTTGACCACTATCGTATGTAATTTAACGAAGTTTTTGCGGGACATCTGTATGTAAAGACAGAATAAAGGACTCTTTTCCCACAAAAAAATTATAAAACTGATTTAAAATGAATTCTGAAGAGATTTTTTCGTGGTATCTGTACGTGCGTACAAATGTACGTACATATCTTGCATAACTCAAAAGTGAGTAGCCTCAGTACATTTAAATTTTGTACATAGGACTGCTATAACATGTAGATTCGCACCTCCCATTTTGATTGCAATCGGTGGTACCAAAAAGTATATAAATATATTTATTATATATATATATATATATATCCACTCTGTTAACTCGACTCAGTGAGCTCAGTTTCTTTATTCTCATATGTTTGTAAATTGTGCATTTTTTGCTTTAAAAATGATTGAATTATGTTGTTCTGGTTAAGATTTTTATGCCTTTAATTAACCTGCATGTAATAATTGTGGAATTATCAACAATTTAAAAGTTTTTTTAAGTGCGGCTAAGCCTAATTTCTGATTACCATGGCAGCCATGTTTGTTTACATTTGAAAACAGCAAAATAGTGATTTGTTGTCAATCTAGAGAAACTAAGCTTCGCAACAACAAAGAAATGTCTTCTTTTATTCATATTCTTATTGCAAATTAAATTATGCTTAATTCATTCTGGAATTAACATTTAAGTTATTAGCTTGTTTTTGGCATAGAAACTGTAATTTTAGTTGTAAAAATTGTCTTTTTAATTGTTTTAACTGTATTTTGGGCATTTTATGGTTTTTCTATAGCTTTCAAATTTTAATGAAAATATTTTGAATTTTTATGTAGTTTTGACTTGTCGCGAAGTGATAACTGAATTAATTAATAGTGCATGCACATTAGGTAAGCATCGCTGAATTGGCTGTGAAAAACTGTTTCTTTTTTTTTTCTTTGTTTTTAAATTTCTGTTATACATCATTTTAGATTTGTTATAGTATTTGAATAGAACTTGTAGTAATTCTTCAGATGATATAATTTTTGTGCACTCTGAGTTATAAAATGAATGTTAATGTTGTTAAGTGAACGTAGTGCCGAAGTTTCACTATGGTAAATAAATATAGTGAACTTTAAAAAGTGCATTTATAATACAGTCAAAAGTCTTTAATCCGGACTCGTCGGGACTTCGGCGATTCTGGATTATCGATTTTTCCGGATTATAGATCATCAGTTTAAATCTGGTAAGATGGCATGCAGAAATTATAAATTAAAAATATGAAACCATAATTTATAAAATAATAAGCAATTATGATCTAAAGGGTATCAAAATTTACAAAAAAAAAAAAAAAAAAAGCTTAATATTTATTTGTTTACTTTATTAAACATTTCTTTCTACGCGCGCATGCATAAAGCATACATTATGCATAGCCGAAATTAGAAAATTGCAACCAGAAAACTATTTGATTTGTATTCGTGATATTTATATTGACGAGGAATTTGATTTAAATCATATCAAAGATGGAGTACATCGAGATGAAATACTACATTTAGTAAGTAATTCTAAGCCGAATAAAATAAAAACATTTGCCCTGAAGATAATGATAGTGCTGACAGATCAACTTCCAGTTCATTGCGCGCCGCGACGCCCCCCCCCCATCCCGCGCAGAGCAGCGTGAAATTGATAAAGAGATTTCGGAACGGTTAGATAAACCAAAGGATATGCCTTTATCCATTTTTTGGAGCAATTCCACTTTTTGTTTGATGGACATCGAAACATACTTTTGTTTTGTAGATCCTTTGGGAGCTCCAGCATCGGAAATTCTATTTGACATAATCGAAAGTTCAAGCTTACTTTTATAAAATTGCTCTTACAGTCTGTAAAATATAATAAGTCGGATCCAATTCGAAGATTAACGAACAACACAATCATCAACATTAACTGAAATAGGTAATTAGATAATTTTAGCTAATACCGTCCGTTGTACATTAAACGCGCACGCGAAAACGTATTCTGCGCTTGCTCACACGCATATGCGCAGTTGTAAAGGTCTTACGCGCTCGCGTAAATGCCTATGCGCATGCGTCAATGCGGCACATGCGCAGAAAGATTTTTGCTTTGATTAGGGGTGTCCGAATTGACGACTTTTGACTGTATTGTGGTTTATGCGCTATCGACGAAGTAGATTTAATTCAAAATTCATTAACTGTTAATTCAATATTTTAAAATGAAATGCAGGAAAAATTGCATTTAATTCAATATTCCTTATAAGGAAGTCGTGTGGTAATTCATTTAAAGATTTCATTTTTTCATTCATCATATTTTTTTTTTCAATTATCTAATGAACATAATAGTTGAAGAAACTAATAATTTCTATAAACTAAAAAATGAGTGAAACTCCATCTTCATCCAAAATCGACATGCTCTTCTAGAAGTGCCTAAAATGAGGAGATTCCTAGGATTAATTATTCTGCTGGGATGGAATAATTAAAAAGTTTGACCTCAAAATGTGTTTGATGATGAATGAAATGATAGCGATTAAATTATTACATACTGTCTCCTTTCTGAATCATTTATACTATAATATTTGATCATATATTTTATTATTTTTTATGTATGTTTAGGTAGAGATTTATGCAAGTTTTTTAGATTTCATCAAAATGAGTCAAATATTTTATTTTGCATTTAGGTTTTAATTAAAAAATTTTCAGAATCTCTTGATATAAAGTTAGACTTAGCAATGCAAAATATCCCATCGTGCGAGATCGTACTTCTGCAACAACACACTGTCACCAAGGTGAGTTGTGCTAAGCGGCATGCCGTCTTGTAAGAGGATTAACTACTGATGCATATATGATACATCCATTCTGAAGGGGTAATACACATTGGAAAAACATATTTCTTAATAATTAGTTTTAATAATTATATGATAATAATTGGTTGTTAGTGTTAATTAATTATAATAAATAATTATTATATTTCATTTTTGCACTAAAATCTATATCAATTATTACACATATTTTGATTTTGGGGAAGAAAGAAAAAAAGAAATTTATTTTAGGAAAGAAGAACGAAACGTATTCTTGCATAAAACATTGCAATATTGGCAAAAGTTCTGTTAAATTGTTAAATCAATTGTGATCAAGGCGGATCACACTTAAATGGGGTGGAAAGCTGTTGACTTTTTTTTAATCTATGCAAAGAATGCTTCCACTAGAAAAGATAGTTCCATTATTTTTAGTGATCGTGTTTTTAAAAGTTAAAAATGAAATATGCACTTTTCAGGTAAAATTGATAAAGTATGAAAAAAATCAAAATTTTTTGCAATCATTGCGAATCTTTGCAGTTTTTCTGCGAATGTGAAACAAAGGTGCTGAAAATAAGAAAGACGACTGACAATAGGTCTCCTGATGACATCAGGACTTTCTCTTCTTCGATAGTAAATTAACTTTTCCTGGTGAAGAATTAATTCTGATGTAACCTTCCCTACCCTGCGGCATATAATTAGCATTCCTTTTGAGTGAATCTTAAGTGATTTGGCAGAATAATTCAGTCAAGGTTGCATTTGTCACATTTGAACTATATATGTATTTTACTTTTCACCTTTGTACAATGTGCATGCTTTTTTTAATAAATGTGTTTTATTTCAGTGTAATGTGCATGATAAAGTATATGGCCCTATTTCTGATATGTGGAAGAGGTATTGTATTATCTATTAATTCATTAATGCTTCTTGCATGAAATTATTTTTATGAGTATATTTATCACAAATAATAATGAATTACAGCTATTAAGGATTCTGCAGTGCCTTAGCAAAATCTTAGATAAAACATGGATGTTTATGGCTATATTATCTGTGAAATTGGAGCTTAAAATTTTTTCTTAAACAGTTAATGGTAAAAGAAGAGATGTACAAAACTTTCAGATTTGATCTTTTGGGTACTTTTAGTCAGAAATGAGGCTATAAGCATATAGACGTTATCAGGTTCAATGTTTCTTCTAACCTTCTTCGGAAACATACAATGACCTGACTAGGAACAGAGAGCTTACTAAAGCTATGTTCACTAATTGTAGTAAGTAGACAG